TTATTGTTTTGAATTGGTCACACATTTGTTTAGAAATGGGATATTTTAAAAACATTATCTCTATTTATATTTGCGATTGCGGACGAAACACAGCACCTAACTTTTCACAATATTCTATAAAAATTTAATTAAGCTCGCTGTTTGACCTAAAAGAACTAAATTTATATCATTTGTGTTTATATTTTTAATTGTTTTTTGTACTATATTAATATATTATATTATATTGTGATTTAAGAATAGGTATTTTTACGAAATAATTCTGTCACTTTTAATAGTGAATTATTTATCAATCTATAATTTATTAAAATTGTTTACAAAGAATAATTCTGAAATATTTAAATAGTGAAAAACTGTAAATATCAAAATGTCACGACTTTCTAGCTATCACATCATGATAATCTCAAGGTACTTTGCCACTATCAAAGACTTTGTTAACTTGGAATTAGTATGCAAAAAGTTTGGTGGTAATATGGAAAAGTTCCATTTCAATCCGATTCTGTTGGATTTTAAAACACTTAGATACTTCCCAAACATTGAGACACTTCATTTATGGAATGAAGAAGATAAGAATTTTGGTTATGGATTTCTGATCAACACAAAAAACGAAGAAAATGAAAATGATGAAAATGATGAAAATGATGAAAATGATGAAAATGATGAAAATGATGAAAATGATGAAAATGATGAAAATGATGAAAATGATGAAAATGATGAAAATAAAGAAGATAAAGAAGATGATAAAGCTGTTTTCAAGAAAGAGTTCTTTCGAATCATTGTGTGGTTCAATGTTGACTTTGAAACTGTTGACAAATACAATAATGGAAATATAGAGTTTAAAAATGTTACTTACACTGAACATGATAGAAATTTATTTGGTAATAACATACCATTGAGTGTTAAATCTATTGCCGATGATTGTTACTGTGGATGCAGACGTCTGACTAGTTTTAACATACCATCAAATGTTGAAAAATTGGTGATTGTTGTTTTATGAATGCAGTAATTGAGCAGTATAATTATACCACCAAGTGTTACATCTATTGGTGTGAGTTGTTCGGTGGATGCAGTAGTCTATGCAGTGTTAACATACCATCAAGTGTTGATCAATAAGTGGTTATT